GGATAGTTCTCCCTTATCTGCATGAAAGACGTTTCAAGGACCAGAGGGGATGCTTGAAGCTGCAGAGAGTTCTGAACTATATTACATACATTTTACTGCTTCTCTTTGGCATATCCTAAGCATCACTACTCTTGGGCAGAGGGGCCGTTACTAAGTAAAATAAGGGTTACTTGAACATAAGCGCTGTGATATGCGACAGCTCCTGTGATAACTGAGACAGCTACTGCGTGACTGATGACGGGGTACTGTATACAGCGTGGTTATGCAATTTTTACACTTAATTGGTTATTCTATCAGAAAATTCATAATATTTGCTTGAAGATTCTATCAGAAAACTCTTAAGTTTTGAGAAATCATCAACACAAGTCCTAGAAGACTTTTTGGTGGTATATACACATGTAAATTGAAGTGTCAGATTAAGACCACCAGAAAATTAATGGTAGCTTGTCTTGAATTATCCATTTAACTGAGATGAGAGGTGTGGTCCTGGAAAAAATGTTTCAAGTAGATAAACTTTGCCTCTGCAAACTGTATAGCATGTTAGACACAACAGAAAGCTCTCTAAATTTTAAGGAAAATGAGCATAAGTGTTTTCAGCAGCTAGTCTAAGGCATTATTAGTTTTGAAGAGGAATTCATTAGACAGACCTGTTTCTCAAGTCTAGGTTATGTGAGGAAATGAATATTCACTTGAGCTTCATCAGCAATATGGCAGCTCTGATCATGACAAATGTCCAAGATAAAAATAATTTCAAGCAAATGATGTACTTTATTAGGTTTGGATCCCTCTTTGGATTACAAGGAATTTCATAAGGATTGCAATGGAATTTTATACTCCAGAATTTGGACTTCTCATTTCATAAATCTCATGTAAAAATTTATCATTCATTTACACATTCTTTCAACGAATACTTATTATGAGTCAGTAATTTGTATCAAATTGCCAGGTGAATCTCCACCGTTGTGATTCAGAACCTCCAAAGTTTCTGAATGTTAAGTACGTAAGAGCCAATTCCTGTCAACAGGCAGGACCTGTCAGGTGTCCAAACAAGCATGACTTCCAAATTCCTCTTTTGATCCCAACCTCCCTGATTTTCTCTCTGGGTTCCTTTCTTCCTAGTTCCATACCTGGTTTTTTGAGCCCTTTTGTTGGCTCCCCTTGTTTGTTGACGTATTTGGGCTTTTACAAACCTCGGCTTCTGACTTAGATTTTAGCTATTTAGGGTCCTTCAACTTCAGTGTCTCCTGAAGCTTTGAGTCAGAGACAATCCAATCAATCCTAGCCAATTCACTTTTATAACAAAAATATAATGAGTGAGGTTCATTTATTAAAAAATATAAGAATAGGAACCAAAATGAAATAAATGTATTTCATTTTAGATTTTGGGAAAACTAGATAGGATGCTTAGGAAGAAATTCCATAAAATCCATTCCAAATACAGATCTGAGCAATGGCATAAAATTTGCCAAAAATATTCTTTCCATAAAAACAGTTTACTAAAAATCATTGAACCTACAAAAAGAGTCCTTGATAAAGCCACACGTTTAGACTGAGGGCTAGTTAACTTCGACATTAATTTGCTTTTTCTTCTGCGAAGACTGGAGACCCAATCTGCCTGTAGTCAGGGCGGATGGCGTGAGTCAGCTTATCCCCTTCCCACATTATCTCTGTCAAATGTGGCTGCAGTTGACTAAAAAAAAAATCTTAGCCTCTCTAAGCATAATAGCTGTGTGCATTAGAATTAAAATGCCAGCTATAAAGTATCAGTTGGACATGGCTCTAATATATACAAAAATACTTCTTCGAGCCTTCAAAAAACTAATGAGAAACTCTGGTACTGATATTTTAAAAGACAAGTTAAAAATAAGTTAATAGAACATCAATTTTCAAGAGTGTGTAATTCTTAAAATGTCATCATAATGTTAAAAAATCAATGTTAAGTAAAATACTTTTAAAAATTAGCTGAAATATTTTATTCAATTTTTGAAACAATGAATGTTTAAAAAATCATTAATATTAACCTTATTGTTTAAAAAAAAACTAAGAACTGTTTTTAAAAAAACTGTCAAATTCTACCAGTTAGCAAATGTGTTAAAATACTTATACATGCACTTGGTTTTGCTGTAAGTTAAAACATAAATGGTAGACTCTATAAATGTGGGTGTTTTATTCAGGGGGTTAATGTCGTTTGGGGACCATTTGATGCCCCTACGTGCTTATTGCATGTTGATGCCAACATTGTGTCCCATGAGGAGCTGCAGGCACTAGCTCTAGATTTGATGAGTTTTCTTTCTAATTAATTAATTAACTGAGTAATAACATCCTATTTCGAGCAAAAATTCTTCTCATGTTTGTTATTCTCTGAATGTGCTCAGCCAAACATGGAATTTGGCACTATATGTAGTTCCCTCCTTAACTGAATTTATGTTTGATACATCGAACAGTGCTCAGATCTATAAACTTGTGGCCTTGAAGAAGAGCTCCCTTTAAAGCATATTTCAGTTTCATGTGAATCTCAAAGGATCAAGTTAGTCCTTATCTAATCCTAGTTGCTGTTCCCATGCCTTCCTCTGGCCATTGTTCTTATTTATCTTGTTTACTTTGAAAACATCTTGTTTTTTCCTAGGCATCCTTTGCATATCTCTTAACATGAATACTTGAACTATATTATATTTGGTACAATGCGTAGGATGATGTCTAGGGCACCCTCTTGTACATGCAAGAGAAGGAAGAATAACTTAAGTCAAAAGGCACTATTTCCTAAAATACTGGGGAAGCCTTCATTTCCCTTTGCATGTAACACAACATCTAACAATCAAGCTAAGGGGGTTAATATTTTACATAGATCCTTCACCGAAGCAGTAACACTCTTTCACTTTCTATTTTGAGACATCAGTGTTTTACAGTGTTAATGGAGCGATGCCATATTATTATCTGCTATAGCTAATAAATTGATTTATAAAATCACAGTTTATAGCCCTTCTCTCTTTTATGTATATCATGGACTCACAGATTTATAGGAGCCTATTCTTCATAGAGATCACCTTCGACCCATAATGAAGGTGAGAATGCTTATTAAAAACATAGATTAAATATATGCATAACCATTTTGGGGACAAATGATAAGGTGGTGGAAGAATGAGATGATATGAAGAAAGACAGGTGCTTGGCTTCAGGGCTGGATGTTTTAGGAGACGAGGTTATTAGGAAAAGTACAACTTGATAGGACACAGTCTGCAATCTTAATGTTGGATTGTGAGGCAATGGCTAGAGCAACCCGGCAGGAGATTTTAATCATTCACAAAAAATTGAAATGAAACAGCTTTCTAGACAGTGCTGTGGTCAGATCTGCTGGCTGCTCTGAAGCTAGAGTGTAAAACTGAAGATGGAATGCCTGTCGAACGTGCTCGAGAATGTGCTAACCTATTGTGCTGGCCTTATCTCCAAGCTGATTAAAATGTTCCTTTTTTCATTTCCAAGGTTCCAACAGAATCGTGTGTACAGCCATCCCAGACATTATCACGTTTCACTTTTTTTCTGCTTGTTTATCTGTCCTGTCAGGTATTGAGACACTTGAGAATAAGAGAATTTAGCATTGTGCCTAGCGTTAGCACCTAATAAATGTTTATTTAATTTTGTTTGATTTAATGTAATTTGTTTTAATATCCAATAAAGGGTTGTTTGAAAATCTTGCTTTCTTAAAACTGCAGACTGCTCCCAGGTTGCCTGGCACAGATGAGGCTATTAACATCAAAAGGTCCCCATCTCCTCCTCTTGCCATGTGGGAGTTTTTGACACTCATGGCCTGGACACACACAATCCTGGGTACTTTGATTTGAGGCTGGCTGCACAAGGGTAGGGAACACTTCTGGGGTAGGAGGCAGTTGCTAAGTCACATATAAAAGATGGTGAGACATTCGATTTCCTGCTGCAAGACAGATGCAATATGATTATTTAAGAAAATAAGCTGCAGAGGGGACATCTGCTTTATACAAAAATTTTTCACAAGATTCTTTTGAGAAGCAAGTATGTATATGTGCATTTTTTTTTTCTGGGAAAAAATTAAGCATTTAATTAGTTTCTCAAAGGGATATGGAACCCCAAAAGGTTAGTACCAACTGCTTAGTGTGAGTAAACAGAAGTTGGCTTTCAAATATCAAGCTTCTGCTATGATAATAAGTTTCTTTACAGGAAGGATAACATCTGAGCCTCTTTTTTACTTCCTGTACCTCGTACAACAGTTCCCGGGACAATCCACGGGGGTTTGTTGGGATAAAATGCATCGGAAGTAAAAGCAAGGCTTCCTTGGAAAGCATCACTACCCAGGGAGGCCATCATTACGTTGCTGCTTGCCTTACCCACCACGGTGTACTCACTCGCAGGCTAGTGGAAAGAATTTACCCCTTTCTGGAACAGTAGGAATTTTCATTTTTATTGGTATATTTTGAAATGTCCAAACTCCTTTTGATGTCTAACTACTACCACCACGAACTTTTATTTGTTTGGTATTTCTATTTGTAAAGATTTTACACTAAATTTAAAAATTCCGTGGGATACATGGATCTTCCAGGAAGTAGGACTTCTGTGATAATGAAAATCAAGCCTGGTTTCCCTCAGATAGGCGGTTTATTTTCTTATTCTTTTCCTTAAATGAAAAAGAAAAGACCAGAGTTCCTGCGAGATCCCACACAATTCAAGTTTTAAACATAACAAAACAATCCCAGCAGGTCTGTAACAGCAGGAGACCAGGAAGACCTGAAACAGCGGTGACTCTTCTGACAAAGTCCACACAGCTGGGGTTAGGCTAGCACCTGACCACTACAAAGCAAAAGGAAAAAAAAAATTTTTCTTTTTTCTTTTTTTAAAGGAGCAGCTTAACTTGCTGGCTCAGCAAATGTTTTTCCGGACTTGACCTTACTCTCAGCCCTTCCTCCCGCCCTCGACTGTACCATTAAGTCTTAGATACTGGGGAGACTAAAAAGTATAGAGAATGAATCAGTAATTGCCAAAAACTTTCCCCCACATTGTGCTTGGCAGCACTTGCTACTTTCTTTTAAGTGGATTGTAATAATCAGGTCAGGGGTTTGTTCTGCATACAAGGTCACGGCCAGAGTGAGCACTGAACTTTGGACTGTAGCTGAGGAGTGAGGTAAACAACAGGACTATAAATATCGGAGTTTCTCACAGTGCTTTTGCGAGCAGCTGAGCTGAGCAAAGAGAAAGGAAGCTGCCCCTTCAGAAGGGGTGGGTAAGTAGGAACTTTGTGTTCTCCAATACTTGATGCCTTTAGAGTTTGGTAAATAATATGATTTTGAGTCTGACAACAGTGTTTCTTTCCTTAGAAGAGATTTTCTTTTTTTTTAAAAAAGAGATAAGTAAAGAAAATAAAAATGATACAGAAGAAAGAGAACAAAATACGCTAAAACTGGGTGTGGTGGGTGCAGTTCGACAGTGGGCGCATTGACGGTCTTGTTGATTTCTGCCCTGCTTTCTGCACAGCCCAGAGTGAAGATGCGAGCAGGGGATGATGGAGAAATTTAACTTTGACTCTGCAGAAGGTCGTGATGTTGTATAGGCAATAATGCATGTGGAAGCTTCATTATTTCTCACTGCAATGCAGAGTGAGAATTCTAAGGGCAAAAATAGCCTGTGGGTTTGAAGAGCAGAGATAAAATATGGCCATTCTACAGTGCTGTAGAAATGTCCAGGGATACTGTGAGCAGTTTCAGACCCTCCTCCCCACCTTCCCCGCAAAAAAGAAGGGAGAGCAAGTTTGGTCCACTGTGCAGGAATGGTCACCCTTGAAAGAGTTAAAACCCATGTCAAAATCGGGTGGGCTGAGATTAAGTGCTAAGTGTTGCAGTTGATGTGGTGTGTGGATGCTTTCAGGTGAATGAGGAATAACCCTCAGATGCCCAAAGTTCAGGGGAAGAGGATGGGAAAAGGTTCTACATGCCCTGCCTTTTAATGGGGGAATTTTAAACAAATGTAGGTTGTATGTGGCCCGCAAATCTAGGTTATGTGACTGAAAAGTGGTGAGATTAGTGAAATTTATAACTACTTTCTAAATGCTATGATCAGCCTCCAGTAAACCCAATTTTGTTATTTATCTTCATTATTTTTATGTAGTTGTCTGACAATTTTAATTACAATAACAAAATCTATTATGTAAAAAGTTATCTTAAACACAGTTGAATAGCTTATTGATTATAACAACAGAGGAAAATTTGAAACCTTTGCCAATGGTTTTAGTTATTTTTTCATCAAAAAACTAAATGAGGGAAATGAAATAGCCTTTTCATTTATATTCACTATTTAGCCAATTGGAACATTATGCTACACGGCAAAGTGAGAGTATCAAGTGCTGATTTACGCTGAAGGTTCTATAATACTAAATTACTAAATTTATTTTCTAGCTATTTCAGCAAGAAACAAAACAGCTTGAATGATTTTAATGTTCTATTTGCCATAAACAAACAAAACCCTGGCTGCTGTAGTTATTGAAGGTGACCTATCTAAAAACTGTTAATATATTATAGTGGCTAAGAAGTCATGTTTTAGATTTAGCAGAACTGGTTTGAATCCAGACTCTCTAGTGACTTACTACCTGTGTGGATTGGGTAAGATGCCTAAAGTCACCCTTAGTCACAGTTGAGGAGATTGCAAAAGGGAATAAATGGTCACATAGTTGTTGGAATTAACTGACATAATATAAATAAGTGCTTAGCATGACCTGTATATAGCTTTATAAATGCTCAATAAATGATAGCTATAATAAGGATAATCGTATCATCAATATAAATACTAAAGAAATTCCCTAGATTTCGTCCAGATATATCCTCTTTTTTTAAATATTAGAATTTAAAAGATATTATAATAGTTGGGATGGTCTTAATAAATTAATTTATCCTCTTAACCACTCCCCACCCCTTTAGTTAGGCTCTTATTATAGAGGTAGGAATTTTGTGGTGTTAAATGATCTAAAAGATAATCAGGTTTTATAAAGTTCTATCCATGTCTAGCAGTGCACTGGAGCCCAAATCAATCTGATTTTAGCCTTTCTACTCCCCTCTTAATTCTCGGCTAAGAAACTTATCATTAGCTTCCTGCCCTTCAGGCACCCCCCCGCTCCAAAAAAAAGTGGTTTATATCTTTTTTCTGAATCTCAGATCAGTGCCTGAAAATGTGCCAACTTCCTAGCTCTGGAATTTTGTCCTGATCTCTCTCCACGGACTCCTATGTCAAAATGAGCCTGATTACCAGTGTGCATTTTTCTTTCTGGGCTCATCTCTGCTTGTGTCTGCTGAGTGTTTCTTTTTTCATCATCTCTCTACAATTCACCTGTTTTATTTGTTAGTTTGGGGGATATTTCTCGTCAACTATTTATCTTTCCCACTCAGAGGGGGCATCTTTTTACCCGAGAATGTGCTGTCTAGTAACAGAAACTTCCTGAAAGTACTGGGAGCAATAAAAAGAGTGTAGATGCCAGTGAGTCTTAAATGGTACAAGGGACAGTGAGTTCTCCTTGGTAAGATTTTTTTTCATTGGTTCTTATTTATCTTAAACATGGTAGTGACATTTGGGCAAGTAGTTTTAAATCCGAAGAGATTCAGATCCTTTAATACTGACGTAGCATTAGATTTTAAAGAATAAGAGCAACAAAAGGGAGCCATACCCAAGAGACTTGTAAATGTAGAAGGTTTGAACCCGAAGAGCTAAGTGCCCCACTTGAGCCACCTTCGTGTTGGTAGACTGTCCTCACTGCTGCCGCCATTATTCCTGCGTTCTCTTTCCATGCTGGCTCTTTCTCTTTCTGTGCAGGATCCCCTGCTTACCCTTTCCTTTCTTAGATTGGTAAAGAATGGAAAGAAGCAATCAGAACATGCTGTATCTCAAAAAAAAAAAAAAAAAAAAAAAAAAAACCCGTTTGCGAAAAGTGTGTTCTAGGACACCACTTTTTTTTTTTTTTTTTTTTTTTTTTTTTTCTAAATATGTATGTATCATCTCCTAGAGAAGTACTTGGCTCCTTGTTCGGGCAAGTCTTAGCATGCTCGGTGCAGTGTCTTACCTAACAGCAGATAGTTAAGAGGTGCTTTGACAACTCCCCTGCCTCCTTCCGCTGATATTTTCACCTTCATAGGAAGATTTGGTGCATGGAGGTCCAACATAATGAGCCCAACAATATATGGAGACAGAATTCATGGCTAGAATTTATAGGAAAGTGAATTATATCTGCTGGATTTATAGAAATTCCTAGATATAACCGTGAAGCACTCTTTGAAGATGACATAAAGATTTTCTCTTTTACAGGACAACACTAGCAATGTGGAGAAGCCTAGGCTTAGCCCTGGCTCTCTGTCTCCTCCCTTGGGGGGGAACAGAGAGCCAGGAGCAAAGCTCCTTTTGTAAGCAGCCTCCAGCCTGGAGCATAGGGGATCAAGACCCAATGCTGAACTCATATGGTTCAGTTACTGTGGTTGCTCTTCTTCAAGCCAGCTGATACTTTTGCATTCTACAATCATCTAGGTAAGATAGCCTTTCCGTGGTCTAAGGGAAAATCTATTAAATACACACATACATAAAATAAAAATAGAAAAGATATATTTATTAAATCACATTTTTGGAAAAACTGTACATCTTTGCATAGAACATGTTAGAAGAAAGACTAGGAGGATACACACCAAAATATTTAGTGGTTTTCCTGGGTCTATGGATTTTTTTTCTTCTTTTTGTGGACATATATTTTACAATGTCCTACTAAGTATTACTTGTGTAATGAAGATGCTCTAAAATGTACTCCTGCAAATGGATTGTTATTTCAATATAACAAGCAAAGATGAGTGCTTGCTGTGCCAGAGTAGATCGAAACATTAGACTTGCTACAACGGTCTTGGGTCATTTAACAAACATATATAATTGTTACTTGCCAAATATTTATTGGGTAGAATTCTCTGTAACTGTAGGATGGATTAAAACATATACATTTCAACCAGAGGGTATAGGGGATGATGGAGGGGGAAGGTAGACAGGGAAGAAAAAAAATTTCAATTAAAAAAAATTAATTAATTAAAAAACCATATACACTTCATAGGATCAGTTTGAAGACTAGATGAGCTAATGTTTGTGCAAGTATTTGCATAAGGTTTTAAATAAGCACTAGTGCTCAATAAATAATTTTAAAAATGAAAGTTTTAGTCCTTTACAACAATATAAAGAAGACATGTAAATAAATGAGAGTTTTATGTGGAAAAAATAGAGAATGAGGAGAAAGAGATAAGTCACTAAAAAATTAAATGAATTAAAAAATTAAATGAATTAAATGAATTTTATTTAATTTAAAATTAAATTATTTTCTTTCTTTTTTTTTTTTTTTTTTGGTATTTTCCCCAAATATTTTAGTTTGGAAGACTTGCGAGTAAAACTGGGGGGGGAAGG